TCCCCATTTGCATTTTTTGCAGTGTTTTCAGCAGGAATTGCCAATTCACTCGATCAAAGGCTTTTTCAGCATCTAAAAATATAAGCGCCGCAGGGATTTCGTTGTTCTTCTCCAGGTATTCTAATGTATTAAGGATTAATCTTAAGTTAGTTCTCATATGTCTCACTTGAATAAAACCTGTTTGATCATTATGAATCAATTGTTGGATAACCAACATTAACCTGTTCGCTAGTATTTTAGTAAAGATTTTATAATCTATATTAAGTAATGATATGGGTCTATAATTTTTTGGATGAGTAGGATCTTGATCTTACTCATTGATCTGAATGTTGCTTATTATTTTTATTATATGTGTCTACGTCATTGTCTGTATTCCCCTTCCTGATTTTATGTGAGCCGCCCTGAGTCCCCTCAGGGAAAAGGGCGGCCTACAAATGTTAATAAACATTCCAAACAAACATATAGGCACTGTATAAGTTGGAACACATACAACTGTGTCTAACTCCAATAAGATAGCTGTTGCTACTAGACAAGTGGACATGCTTGTACATAACAGACACCCCCCAAATTTGACAAATTGAACCAGACATGTGCATAAAATATCTTTTGAGGTTTAAACAGATGAGAGAGATGGCATCAAAAGACGTTTCCTTGGGACAGCTGAGACTTAGATTCCAGTCAGTTCTGTTACTATTCCTCTCTACCTTTTCACTTTCTCAGTTCCGATCTACATAGGCAGCTGTCAGGAAATGTCTTTCTCAAATTCAGAGGTGCAGCATGGAAATTTTGGACTCTGGATTTAACAGTATTATTGGGTTGCATCTTTAAATAATAACAAGAATCCCACTTCACAATCTTTTTTTCACATCTTTTTCCTTAATTTGGTAAATGGAGCCCTGAATGTCTGCTTCCAAATCAGCAAAACTTTGTTGCTGAAATGTGAACCTGTCCTCACTTTGTATTAGAGGCACCACATCTTCAGCAGTTGCCAAATTTGAAGTAGAGCATTATTTTGCTGCTGATTTGCTCTACACATGGGCAGAAGCTTCTTGTGTCACTTGAATTTTTTCCAAGAAGATTCCAAATTTAGTGTAAACAAATTTTGGCAACAAATTTTATTAATATCAAATGAGATCTAGTCCCTTCTACCTTTTCTTCTTGTCTCACAATTGGTTCTTGGCCTCCCATGTTTGCTTATTCCTTTTAGATTAATTCTAAACCTGCATTGGCTCTTACAGGTGTTTCCTGAAAATCTGGCAGGGATTGGAGAATGGATTACCATGGAAGACAAATTCTGTAGATAATATCTACAGAATTCTATTATTTTTATTTATGTTTTTAAAACTGAATTCTCATGAGATTCTCAATTTTTTTCCAGCATAAGTGTTTTGGACTTTTTGTACAAGCTCTTCTAAGATCTCAAATAAAAATGATATAAATTTGTAATCTTTCCAACAGAAGGTTCAATATTTCCATATTGGTCTGCCAATCCTGATATAAATTGAAACCATAAATATCAATAACTATGAGAGGTGTATTGCTCCCAGTTAGGCCAAATCAGAGTGGCAGCGGCAGGAGGCTCCGTCCATCTGCCTGGATGCTTCTGCGCATGCGCAGAAGCATTGTGTGAACACAATGAACTGGTAGTAAAACTGGTACAAACCCACCACTGATAACTGTATGGCAAAACTGAGAATCAAAACAAATTCCTTTTGAAAATTGTATTATAGCAAAATGCAAGTCACCTTTAACTTAGAACTTAGAACAACACTATTGTCACTGAATGTATACTAATCAGCATACATTAAAATAAAATACTGCATCCAGTTTTGATGTTAAAAAAGATGTGAGATTCTAGGAAGAGTGCAGAGAAGAGCAACAAAGATGATTAGGGGACTAGAGCCTAAAACATATGAAGAAAGGTTGCAGGAACCTTAGTTTAATGAAAGAAGGACCAGGAGCGACATGTTAGCAGTGTGCCGATATTTCAGGGGCTGCCACAAAGAAGAAGGAGTCAAGCTATTCTCCAAAGCACCTGAGGACAGGACAAGAAGCAATGGATGGAAACTAATCAAGGAGAGAAGCAACCTAAGGACAAATTTCCTGAAAGCTAGAACAATTAATCAATGGAACAACTTGCCTCCAGAAGTAGTGAACGCTGGAAGTTTTAAGAAGATATTGGATAACCATTTGTCTGAAGTAGTGTAGGGTTTCCTGCCTAAGCAGGGGGCGTGACCTGACAAAACAGCGATCGTCAAAATAGCGCCGACAACAACGCAATGTCATAAGCGTGTCCACAACTTCGTGTCGATATAAGCGCGCCAACGAAACCACGATGAAGGAAAGGTTTATTTTGTTGCATCAAAAAGATANTGTCTCTCTCCCCCGCTTATTTTCTTTCTTTCTCTCCCATCCTTCCTTCTTTCTTATCTCTGTCTCCCCAACTTTCTTTCATTCTCTCTCTCCCTCTCCCTCTCCCTCCCTCTCCCTCTTTCTCATACACACACACACCATTTCCCTCATGTCTGCCACTGACAGCTCTCAAAGAGAAGGAAGGACTCCTGCCTTTGGAAAGGGTTGGACTAGATTACCTCCATGTTCCCTTGCATTCCTCTATGTTCTCTGTCCCATTTAGACACAAACAGCCGCATTCACTTTAAAGTTGGTTGCAAACTCCACTCACCCTGCGCGCGTCCTGGTCCCACCCAAGGAGGCGAGCTGTGGGGCGGGGGAAAGGGCGGAGTCGGTGGCTCCACGTCTCTCGATCTTCTTCTTCGCCTCGGTTCTGCGGGCGAGAGGTGCTGCTGCTGAGATGGCACAGCGGTGGCGGCGGGGGATTTGGGGCACTGCTCGCCTAGCAGCATGACCCATAGCTAGCCCAGGAGCAGTAGCCACCGCTGCCGCCGCCACCGCCAGCCACCCCATGCCAGAGGCTAGGCACGCAGAGGGGGCATGGCAGCAGCGACAACAGCCGAGTGACAGCAGCCGAGCGGCAGCAGCACTTTGATGGGCGCTGAGGGAAGGAAGGAATGAAGAAGACTGCAGGCTCAGTTGCCCCTGGCTACGTGACCTCCTTTCCTTCTCTGCTGTCCGAACAAGTGAATGAGGCAGACGGAGAACGAAAGAAGATTGTGTAGCCAAGGCAAATGACCCTGCACTGCAGCCTCCTTCCTTCACAGTTCACAGTTCATTCGGGCAATGGGTGGGGCTTTCTTGCATGCCTTCAGAGAAAGAAGGCGTGCGAGATAGCCCCCCCCCTCACTGCCTCTCAAAGGCGGGGTGATTGGTGAGCCAGCCAATCAGTGTGAGGCTGGCAGGGAAAGCATAGTGCGGACGGGCGGGGTGAGTGAGCGGTGACTGGATGGGTGGGGCAAGTGAGCAAGGGAGGGCAGGAGGGAGAGAGTGTTCCAGTACTGTCCCACCGGATGAACGGGTTCTAAAAGATATGGTAAATTTGACGAACCCCTTCTGGCATACTGTTGCGAACCAGGAGCAACCCACCCCTGGTTTGACCCAATTTTATTTCCTTCTTACTAGAACTTTTTCCTTGTGCTTTAATGCGTGGCTCACATCCAATTTCTGATGCAAATCATTTCTTTCTTTCCTGGTTCGCAGAAGTTTCTTCTTCTTCTTTTTCTTCTTCTCATTACAGTCCTCCAAAAAGAAATAATCCGATAATTAAATATATCAATGATCAAATTGTAATATGTTAACATATGTCAAATCAGCTTGATCGTTACAAAAGTCATAAATAAATTTTTGAATGCATTGAAGTGGTTAAAATATGCTATGAGGTGGAATAAGAAAAAGATAATTAAGTTTTAGCCATGTATCTCCAGGCAGGAATATGGAAGTATTCTAAAGGCACACAAATTGGTTCCTATGCTGTGTAAAGATGGTGTTAGCTTTTCCAAATCTTGCTGCAATAAAATAACAGGCAATTAATTATTGGTCCCCCTATTCTGAAATATAAAATTGTCAAAGTGTTACCAGCCACTGTTCAAATCAAGCTATATTTTTACCAGCTTTACATATTCCTAAATATTATAGCTATTTTTGGATTGCAATTGGCCATAATCATAAAGTAAACCCTGTTGAATACTAGAATATTTCTGATTTGACATGCATTAGGGTGCACAGTTGTTGTTGTTATTATTATTATGTTAATCTTTGGTGAGATTCACAGCCTTTGGGGCTGGTTGGTAGC